AGGTAGTACAAAGATGTGGTTTAATGTCAGTTGTACAGGCATCGTACAACACTGTGGACGGCCATCTACTTAGAGCCTTCGTAGAGAGATGGCAGCCAGCTACCAACACATTTCACTTACCTGTTGGAGAGATGACCATCACACTTGACGATGTGAGTACGTTGGTCGGTTTGCCAGTTGTTGGGCGTACCGTATCTTGCGAGCGTTTGGTCCGTGATTCCAAAACGATCCCCAGTACTTTGATGTTCGAGTTGATAGGTGAGTACCCGGACGATGTAAACAAGAAGAAAGCGGTCAAGTTGGAATGGTTGAAGGCTAAATTTAGCAAAGTGACCATGAGAGATAGTGTGGAGAAGAGGACATACGCCATTCGGGCGTATTTGTTATTTTTGCTCGGGTGTACTATACTGTGCGACAAGACAGGCAACATGGTAAGCGTTGAGTACCTAAATCTTGTATCTGATTTGGATCGGATCGGCGAGTATGCTTGGGGCACTGCATGTCTTTGCCGGTTGTACGATGAGCTTTCCTCAGCCTCACAAAAATCAACGAACTCGATGGCTGGCTGGCTGACGCTCTTTCAGTCATGGATTTACGAGCACTTTCCTTATTTGGGGGTTGGCACATTGAAGACGGAATTCGAGGGGCCATTAGCGAGGCGATGGGAGCCTCAGTCAAAGACTACTTCAACGCCTGAACGAGCGTCGTACCTGCGATCTCGATTAGATGATTTGATCCCCGATCAGGTAACATACCAGTTTAATAATTTGTTATTACTACTTAAGTAGGTTTTTACATCTAATTTTTTATTTATTTTACTAGGTTTTATGGTCACCGTATACGGCTATTCGTGATCGTTTCCCGATGCCAGATTCTGCTTGGTTTAGTGGGATGATATGTTGCATGGACCACTTCGAGGCATATCATCCGGACAGAGTGTTGAGGCAGTTCAACCGGGTGCAAATCATTCCAGGTCGTGCATACATGTCAAAAGATATGTACAAAGCTCTAGTTAGCAAAGGTCGACCGGTCCAGAACTCAATTTTCGTTGCGTACGGCGAACGATTCTCTGATCGGTGGGAGGAGTATTGTCTGGACGAGGAGTCGAGGTCCGTTGAAATTGAACTCGGGGAGGCGGACACTTCGCCGGACTACATGAATTGGTTCCGACCCAGATGCATGTTACAACTGAGTAGGCATGGAGCCCATCCACCTCGACCCCAGGCGGATCGACCTCGACCCCATGAAGCTCGTCCAGAGGGTGGTACCGATAAGGAGGTCCAACTTTCACAAATTGTATACAGCTCAAATTCGACAGCTAATTTATTTTTTTTTGTCCAAAAATACTTAGATGTGTTTTTTATGTTACATTGCAATATATTTGGGGTTAAAAAAAAAAAACATAGTTTTTTCAAATAAAAACCCAACACTTAATAACATTGAAAGTAGCACCAGTAACTTTACATATTTTTGTTGGGAGAACTATCACCATTATCTGATATAGTAATAATCTCGAAACTCTCTCGCGTGGCAACATTTTGACCTATTAATTCTCGAAATGCTGTAATCCGACCATCCATTTCTGCAGGCTTCCAACCATCAGCTTTAGGATCATGACATCGGTACCAATAATCGGCGATAGGAGGTATAGGACAATTCTTGTTCAAGACAACATGCACGAAGTGACAGTTGTCGACGAATGCCATACCGTGCTCTTGTCTCTCGCTGAAAAGCTTTGGATCGCTCGATAGGGGAAGGAACGTGAGACACTGATACTTGGATAAGTAGACAAGCACAATATTGTATGTTGAAGCAATTACATGACCCATATTTGGAAAAGACATCCAATGATCACGAGTTGCAGGAACATCCCAGTTACTCACAATAGCTTGCATGCTTCTAACGGTTTCTTCGCCACGGTGCATGGTCGTGTAAGTGGAAAAATTAGAAGTCAACTCCCGTAGCATGTCATCTCGCACTCGACCCCATTCATCTTCTCCAAATCCCATCATAGAGGCAACTGCCCGAAATCCACAGTGTCCATCTGAACCGACATTGATGATTTCTCGAACGTGCATACGAAATCGTGGATGGATCGTGTCAATGTACTTATTCTTGCCGATCAAACCTGGTGGCAATCCCACATCTGCATCTTCAAATAATGGTTTGAACGACTCTTGCGTCGGTATAGTGCTTTTTCCTGACTCTTGAGTTGGTATAGTGTTGAAAGAATCATTCGAATGCCCTCGTAATCTCATCAGTACAGGTATAAGCTGCAGTATATTACACTTCATTACTCAGCACAATTATAAAATACAACTTCAATGAAATGAGATGATAGTAGCGACATTTACCTTTGGAGAACAACTAGCTTGCTTCGATTTTTTTTTCTTCGGCTCCACATACTCAAAATGTGATTTGTCCCGAGTTCTTGATTTGTCTTTCCTACTTTTTGCCGGTCGACCTTTGCTAACAACTTTTTCACTTGGCTCCGTAAGGTTAGTCTTCCCTGGGTGGGTAAAATGTCTCAAATGGTTGCGCAATCGAGTTTTTGCATCGAGATCGGCACATTCAAAGAGCTTCTGGTATTCCGATAATTCTTCGTCGATGGTTGGTAGGATGACTTGGCCTGTGGTCGCGACGGGCTCCATACTCATGTGTTTCCAATACGAGCCTATTAACTCAAGTGGGATAGGACATTTGTTCACAACAACATACTCATGAAGTTCATGGCGACATGGTAGACTGTGGGTTGTTCGGATGGCGCAACTACAACCCATATCGCTCGGTTGCAATAGTTTCGCATTGTCCACCTCAACTTTGAGTAGTTGCAGAGCATATTTTGAGATACTTCCACGAAGCTCATTGTATATCAACGTTTTGAAAGTGTGCTCGTAAGTATTTTTACTTACTTCAAAGGAAGCCTTGATGTCATTGTGTTGTTCGACAATTTGATTGTGGACTTTCGTATACAAATCCACAAATGTGCCAGTTGAATTACGCACATCCCTTTTCATTCGTCCGTGTGCCCCCTCCACCCTATTAGAAGTGTACGTTCCAAAATGAGTATACTTATTTGTCCACACCGATACAAGTCTCTCCTTGTACGGATCCAACCATGAATTAGCTACATACTCTATAGCCGGGAGATAACCCATAAATGTTCTTTTCAAATCCTCCCAATCCTCATTGAACTCCTCTATGGTATTTCTTTCAATAAGAGCCGAAAAACTCGACTGAAATTGCTTCCATTTGGTGATGTCCTTTGGGAACAATTTCTTACAATTGGCCACTATATTCTTGTTCACATGCCACCGACACAGCAAGTGATGACTCGATGGATACACATTGGCCACTGCTTTCATTAAACCCAAATCTCGATCTGTTACAATGCAATTAGGCCGAGGACAACTGCTCATGGCCTCCTTCAAACAACGCAACGCCCATTCAAAATTTTCCGTCTTTTCGTGGTCCAAGTAGGCAAAGGCAATTGAGAACGTCTTGTTGGTACAAGTAAAACCCACAATCTCAAGAAATGGGAGTCCGTAACGATTGGTCTTGTACGTGCAATCGATGACGAATACGTACGGATACGACTGTGCCAACTTAATGCATTTCGGGTGGATCCAAAACAAGTCGGTAATCGCATTCAACTCGTTCGATCTATGGTACGAGAGGTATTCATCTTCTTTCAACTTGACGAACAATGATTGCAATTGAGATCTCCCATCCAATTCACTGAAATTTAACTTAGAGATAGTATTGTAAACTGTCTTCATACCAGTTACATTAGACGGGTCCTTTTGCTTCAATGCTCTTAGAATTGCCCTTGGTTTCACCATTGCTTTCTTCATAGTGTGAACAAAGGAAACATCCTCCTTTGATAATCTTCCGGCATAAGAGTGTCCGTGCAAGTTTTCGAATAAGTTGTGGTTGTGAATACCACAACTAACATCCAATTTCCACTCAGCCTTTTCATCATCCTTGTGTTCTCTTGTCCCCTTCAATTTAAACGGACAATTGCATTTCTTTGAACCGGTGCTCCTTTTTCCCGGTCTTTGATCATCTTCACCTGGTACCTTCTTGCCAACATAATGGCCCCCACGCTCACAACGAACAATCACATACGGTGTCCTACGTCCTCTATCCCCGTCACTCGAACCCCCAATCATTAACACCATTCCAATTCTTTTACATACTTCACGAACCCATGCCATTAAAGCTTCTTTTGTTGGGAATTTTTCTGACGTGGTAAATGAATGGGTGCAATCGATCTACACAAAAGTGTCGAAAATATAAGACAAGTAAATTTGCAACAGGAACCAAATCGACACTTAACTGTCGAAAATTACCCATATTTTCGACACTTAAGTGTCGAAAATAGAGGTCACTTTCGACACCTAGGCGTCGAAACTTAAGGGTATTTTCGACACATACATGTCGAAAAATAAGGGTATTTTCGACCTGTATGTGTCGAAAATACATGGCGAGTTTAAAAAAAAAAAAAATTTCAAAATCGATGTTTTAGCTCAAAAAATACATGAATACATACCTGAATGGGTTCTCCTTGCTCGTAAACTACCATTCTATTGTCATTTGAGGCCATTTTGCAAGTTGTGTAAGGTTTTGATTTCTTTTGTTTTGGGGTTTTTTAGGAGGGTTTTTGGGGAGGGAGAAGAAGGAGGTGGAGGAGGTGAGGGGTTTGTGAGTGAGGAGGGAAATGTTTTTTTTAGGTTTTTGATTATTTGGTTTTTAAGAAAGAAAAATAGTATTTGTAATATTTTTTGGTTTTAATTTTCATTAAGGGTATTAAAGTAATTTACAATTAATTATTTATTTTTTATTTTTTTGGTATTCAACTAAGCAAAAATAAGTATTCAAAATAGTTGTCCCCATATTATAATGGTGCGGATGAGAATTTGGGAAGAAGTGAGGGATCGAGGCATGCAAGATGACACGTGTGTCATATTATGCCCGCCTCTTTTTCACAGAATAATTTAACACTTATTATTGGCGGGGAGTGTGAGGGCCTTTTCCGTCATTTCAACAAAATCCCAATTAGGGTTCTATTTTTGCTGGGGTGGCACCTTCTCAGGTCGGTTGCTGCTCAATTTTTCGCTACCGCTGCTTTCTTTCTCTTTCTTTCTTTCTTTCTGGGTTCTTTTGCCTCAATTATTATTATTAGTAGTAGATGATCAAAGAGTAGTAAATAGAGATGATGATGATGATGATGATGATGACAGAGGAAGTGATGGAATCTAGCCAAAAGGTGAAAATGCGATACTTGATTGATCATTTTATATATTACACACTTATTAAATTTAATGGGTGTTTGTTTGTTTGTTTGTTTGTTTGTGTAATTGGTTTATGCTGCAGGAAGAGGGGGATTTGTCAGATACGACAAACAAAAAGAGTTGCTCTGATTGCAAAACCACAAAGACACCCTTGTGGAGGAGTGGCCCATCAGGCCCCAAGGTTTGGTTTTTATTTCATTTCATTTATTTATTTATTTGAGATTTTGTTTTTGATACTGAATTTTGTTGTTGAATTGAATGGTTGATTTTCAGTCGCTGTGTAATGCCTGTGGGATCAAGCACAGAAAGAGGCGGCCGGCGGAGGGGTGGAAGAATGAGGTGAAGAAGGGCAAAATAGGGAAAACAAGAAAAATGATAAAACCATTGGGGGAGAAAGTGGAAATTGAAAATTCAGAGGAGGAGAGATCAAGATCAATGAAGAAGAAGAGTAGGAGGAGGCAATCACAATCACAATGGGGAGAGGTTGAGAGAGCTGCCCTGCTTTTGATGGCTCTTTCTTGTGGTGCTGTCTTTGCCTAATTTTCAATTATTCTCTCATTCAATATTTATTTATTACTTACTCAGTGTGTGTGTGTGTGTGTGTTTGTGTGTGTGTCACACCAAATATATATATAATAGACTAGTAGTAGTAAGTAGTCAATGATCATAAGCTACAATATTTTTCACATCAATGTGGAAAAAGGGCCTATGTTAATAATAATTAATGGTTTAGGAGTTGTTAGTTAGTTTTAGCCTTTTTCTTGATAGGTATGGTTTTCTAGAATATCCTCTTTTCCTTTTCCTTTTCCTTTTCCTTTTTCTTTTTTTGTGGGTGTGTAGGAACATGGGATTGGAATTGGAAAAGGGTATTGTAAATATATCTTATAATCAAATGAGATTTGTCCCACTTTTTTCAACATTTTTTAACCCCTCTTTGTAAGGCCAAATTACAAGTGTACCAGCTTATTATGGTTCATGTTGTTAATATATTAGTCAATTTGTCACACTAAGATCATTACTTTCAATCAAAAAACACTAACCAGTTGAGATTCAATAGATGATTGACTTTAGTGTCAGGTGGCATATTGAGATGATTGAAGTTGAATTTTGAAGAAATAATAACAAGACAGTTAACTAGTTATACACACAACAAAGATCTATCCTTCATCTGCAAACACACCCACCCTTGATATATAATGTTTTTCTTTTGTGAATGAAAACAATAGCTGTAGACAGTAATTTCTTACAGTACAATCAACTTGTGCTTACTAACAAAAGAAATAAGAGAGAGGTAACACTTGCATTCAAATCCCACCCTTTCATTGCAACATCAAACATTTATAAGCATCTGTTCGAGTTTTCAGGTTTCTGGTCCGGTTTTTGGTTTTAGAAGAAGCAAACTGACTTGGATAAACTAACTCCTAGTACGAAGCACACAAAATCTCAAGTTTTATCACCTCACTCACACTCATAATGTATATACTTATGTTGTTCGCCCGTACAAATTGCCAAAAAAAACAGATGCCTGTACAATAAACATTGCTTTAAATCATGAAAATCATGTTACCATACCCAATTTGTGTCCCAAGTGCAACTATTCAAATAATAAACCAAGTAGACATATGAAGTTAATGCTTTCTCACTTGCATACACAGTTTCACATGTGAATTCAAGCAAGCAGGGTACTTCTCTATCAAGTTTCCAAATCTCAAGCTACAGTTAACTGCAACAAATTCTCTGTTTCAGGAATTAATTAATCAAGGAAAAACAAGAAGAAATTGCACGAGCAATTAACAACTAACAAGACGAACCGCAGAAGATACATAGATGGTAATACTAATAGGGAATGTTGCCATGATTGCCTTAAATGTGAAACATTACAAGTAAAGGCAGCCAAGCTAATTCAAACAAACAACATTCCTTATAAACACATATTTAAGAATTACGAGAGACTTTTGAATGAATGATCTTGAAATATCTAGTAGATAATAGGGTTCCAGCAAATCCAAACACATGCTACATAAAACAAGAAAAAACCATAAGTACCGACTATACCTTTACTTCATTAATCATTCTCCGGTTAGCACATTTACAGGGTCATTTTTCACTTACCAATAAATGATTTTTTCTTCATAAATTCAACCTTCCTTCATTTGTACTAATGAAGCTTGGCAACCGCTAAATACCAGGTTAGAAGCTTTAGATGATAATAAAACAATAAATTCGTAAACAAGATGCTCGCAATAGTTACTGCACTTATTTACTTTGCGGTGGGACGAACAATATCATCTTACAACAAGCGTGCGAGCGTTCTCTGCATTCTTCGACCAAATAAATGTTTGAACTGCAGCTACATTATTTTCCTTTCCAACATAGAAACGAACAGTTGATTTTTATTTCTAGGTTTTAGCAAAAAATGCCTAAATCAATAGGAGGGACACTCGTCTCCAGTAACATGCTTATTCACAAAAGTGCTTACACCAACAAATTTGTATCCTAGTTCCCCAATATATTCAATTAGGCATTATGCTTAATAACACAACAATTGAAAATTAATTACGAACTCATAAAAGGAGAAGGTGGATTAGGAAAAGAAAACATAGGCCATTATAGAAACATATCTAACTAGAACGAATAACGGCAAAATCGAAACATTATAGAAAAAAAACCAAATACCGGAAAGAAAACAGAATCGTTCCCCATCCACGGTAGTAAACTATATAAATTCAGCCAAACTCCACAGAGGTACCAATAAAAGCGAACGGCAAACAAATTTCTACTAATCCTCGGCATCAATTCATATGGAAAAATATATTTGTCTGTTACATTTTAAAGCACATATGCATTTATATAGTAAAAACTAAATTGTTCCATACATTTAAAATCCTGGGTTGAATGGTTGAAAACATCTGAATTACGAGCCGTGTGAAGTCTCATCTGCAGCATCCGAAACATGAAAAAACAACAATTTAAAAAAAAATTCATATACCGGATATTTTACCAGAAATACCTTTCTCTTCATCGAGATCTGCTTTATCATCCTTAGTGTCTAACTGCTTCGACAATGCAGAGTTCGAAGCATTCCCAACTGCTCCGGTTACAGACTGCTGATAAAGAACCCCTCCGGCGATAGTCATTAGCAAACACAGCAAACCAAAAGGAGTCGAATGCTTATCCCAAATCAACACATTTATAGCCACGGTCAAGAATTTGTTCACCACACCGGTAACCGTAAATGCAGTGGCGGAGATTGCCTTTCTTGCTGCGAAACCAAAGAAACTGATAAGCAGCCCAAACAGGCAAGATAAAGACACCGCGGAAAACGCGACAGGCTCGAACAAATCTCCACCGCTCGAGGACGACGACAGCGCTGCAAACACGTCGGCGTACTCCCCGGTTATGATCCAAAACAGGGGTGCCATCATCAACGACAGCAGATTATTGTAGAACACAAACCCCCATGTGTTGAGGCCGAGATTAGTCACCATGTGCTTGATGTACACCATCTCGGTCGTAATCGTGACCAGATACGCGAAAGCCCACGAATACGCAGTCAGAGTGAACCCGTTATCGGTGGCTACATATCCAACAGCACCACCTAAAATGACGACAAGAGAGACGAACGTCAGTTTCGAAGGGCAGGGCTGCTTCCGGAACGCGGTATCGGCGATCGCAACGAGGAGCGGTGTGAGAGATCTGAAGACGATGAAAGTATCGACATTTGCGTGGCGAAGGAGATTCGTGTTGGTGAAGATTGCGAGGAAAAAGACGAATGCTGCGGGGAGAAACTTCTTTGCGGTTTCGACATTGAAGGGATCGTGGTGCAGGAAACCGAATTTGCCGAGAACCCAAACGCCGAGAGCGGAGGTGAAGTACTGAAGAGCGGTGAGGAGGCCCGGGTAATTGAACTTCGTAATGGCGAATTTGTTGATCACGGCGAGTAAGCTCGAACACAGTGCGTAGCCGATAACCAGACTGCTGGTTGCGTAGTATTGCTTAGATGCCGACGCCATTAGGGTTTCAGAAGAAATTTCACTTGAATTTGAGCTGAATCTGAGTGCGCGATCTAAGGGTGAAATCGAAGGAGCAAATGCGAATCATTACCTTAAACAAGTCAGTGAACACATCTCACTAGGAATAATTGTGAGGAATTCAAACAATTTGGGGGAAATCTATTGAACGGGGAAAAACCCTAACGAAGAAAACTGAGTAAATGAAGGGGGTAAAATTGCTGTAAAAAGGACAAGCAGTTATGGGGAAATACAGTACAATAAATAAAATTTGAGGAAAAAATGTATATTAGATTGTAATTTGCGACCGACACAAAGGAAAAATGAGGGATAATTACACTTTTCGTCCCTATACATTACCACTTAAACGATTTTCGTCCCTAAACAAGATGAAGTTACAATTTTCGTCCCCAAACATGTCACTTTTATGCCGTTTCTGTCCCTCCGTCCATTTGTCCAGTTAGTTTGGACGGAAAATCGCACGTGCGCCGCACGTGACACACAAAATCACCTCTACACCTCAAAATAAGTCTGTTCCATTAATAAAAGGCAGAGCAATTCATGAGAGCATCCTACATCATCTTAACTGACTATAAGTTCGTCAGTAGCATGTCAGAATTACGGTACACAATTGATTGATTCTAATCGAGACTGAGGGATCTCTCCAGCCAAACAAAGGCTCTCAATTGGCTACAAAGTGAAAGATTCGTTCACCGTTCTTATTTAAAATAAACTCAAGAAGTTCAATCTTGAGTATGATACAACAAAAACCGAAATGAAGACTAAAATTTTATACAGTAAAAAAAAGTCGGAAAATAAAACACACCTTCAAGGCCTTGACGAACATTCGCCGCTTCCGAAGATTAACCATATGGTTGAAGACACTTCTGGTTTAGTCAGCTCGTTTCCTTCTTTGACCCATTGATCGAAAACCTTGACCACCGATACAATCGGAGCACCCAGTACAGCCTTTGTGAATGCTGAATGAGGATTAGTTTTGGGAAAACTTTTCTTTTCAGCATCACCCTCAGTAGGACACTCTCACCCTCGTACAGATCTGATTCAGACATTGAATCATCTACGTTATCTGCAGACGCAGCTTTTCGGACTGCACCAAGTGGAGCTTCGAGTTCGGAAAAAGCATCGTCCAAATCATCATCTTGCTCGACTCTGCTCTTTGCACCGGCTTTTGAAAAAAGAGTGCATACATTCATATATGAGTTTGCAGACAAAATCAAGATTGGGTTTCATCATAAATTGTTCTGCCTTTTATTAATGGAACAGACTTATTTTGAGGTGTAGAGGTGATTTTGTGTGTCACGTGCGGCGCACGTGCGATTTTCCGTCCAAACTAACTGGACAAATGGACGGAGGGACAGAAACGGCATAAAAGTGACATGTTTAGGGACGAAAATTGTAACTTCATCTTGTTTAGGGACGAAAATCGTTTAAGTGGTAATGTATAGGGACGAAAAGTGTAATTATCCCGAAAAATGAAGAAGAAGTAAATAATGGTAAATGAAGAAGTAAATAATGGGATGCAGAAAAGCAGATGGGTTGGGTTTTTTTTTTTTTTTTTTTTTTTTTTTGATAATTAGCAGATGGGTTGGTTGGTGAGGAAGAATAAATGGCAAATTGCAATTGATTAAAATATAGGGTAAATTACAAACACCCCCTGAGGTATAGTCAAATTACAAAAACACCCCTCTTGTTTGGATAATTACAACCACCCCCTCAACTCCTCAAATTTAGTGAAATCTTCGAGATTATATGGAATATTATCACTTTTGTACCCGTTTTATCTCATTCAAACTCTACATTATGAAGCAAGATGATCATAATATGTGATTTTTAGCTTGTATATATCAGTTTCTGGTGCATCGGAAACTGTATTTTTACACAAAACGAGTACAAACTAGAGCAAATTTCACGGAATCTAGATGATTATGTTGAATTTGGCACCATAAGGGTGGAGGTGTAAGAAAAAATCATAGTTGAGGGGGTAGATGTAATTATCCAAACAAGAGGGGGATTTTTGTAATTTGACCATACCTGGGGGTGTTTGTAATTTACCCTTAAAATATATTATAATATTATCAACTGTTTCCCCCTTTTTTTTTTCTCTCACTGAATTTTTCACTGATGGTGAGCAAATAAAATTTCGCATGAAAACTAATTTACAATGATTTTATATATACAAATTAAGGGTTTTTGTGCATAAGTCTCCAACCAAGGATCTTTATTATTGTAGCTATAGGGGCTATATCTCTTTTATCAATAAGTCCATCATTTTAATATTTATTATAAATGAAGGAAACTTTCATGTATATGCCAATATTACCCCAATCTTTTATCCTCAATTTTTAATTATAACCCCAATTTAATCAATTTTATCTACAAAAATCCAATTTTGACCACAAAAATCCAATTTTGACTTTTTTTAGCATACTTCAATATGCTCCAATTTCATCCTTAACTTAATTTAATCTCAATTTGACCCCAAATTTCACAAATTATTCAATTTTGACCCAAAATGTTTTTTTTTCAAAAAAAAAACAATTTTGCCGCCGGTCTTCGGCGTTAACTTTTTTTTTTTCTTTTTTCTTTTCTTTTCTTCCGGATTTTTTCGCAGGTTTTCGGCGTTGATTTTTTTTAGTGTTTTTTAGTGTTTTTTTTTTGTTTTTTTTTTTTTTTTGTTTTTTACCTCCGCCGCTAAACGTTGACCGTAATTATGCTGTCACTAACAGTAAATTAACGAAATTATACTGTCAATGACAGTTAATTAACGTACTTGTACTGCCATTGACAATACATTTATGTAATTGTTCTGCCGTTGACAGTAAATTAACGTAGTATTAATATTTTTTATTTTTTGTTATTTTTTTTATTTTGTTTGATTTGTTGATAAGTCAACGTAATTATATTACTGTCGTTGACAGTAAAATAACTGTAAACACAATAATATTACTGTCAACAACATTAATATTATTATTTTTTTGGGTTTTTTGTTTTGTTTGAGTTATTCACGGAGTAAGGTAATAATATTACTGTCTATTATTGTAATATTACTGTAAACACAATAATATTACTGTGGTTGACGGTATATATTACTGTTGTTATAGTAATATTGTTGTCAACCACATCAATATTATTATTTTGTTTGGATTTTTTTCTTTGTTTGAATTATTCACGGAGTAACGTAATAATATTACTGTCTATTATTGTAATATTACTGTGGTTGACGGTAATATTACTGTTTTTATAGTAATACTACTGTCACTCACAGTAATATTAATTCTTTTGGCTTTTTATTATATTTACATTTGTTGAACGGTCAACATAGTAATATTACTTTATTACACAATAATAATGAGTTTTGGTGTGTTAATATTATTGTGCTAGAGATTAATATAGCAATATTACTATGTTAAACTGTAGTTTAGTTAATTTTACTGTGTTTAACAGTATTAACAGTAAAATAGTTAATATTACTGTCAATCACAGCAATATTGTTGTTTAAACGAAAAAAAAAGTTACAGAAAGAAAAAAAAAATTCGAAAAAGTCAACACCGGAAACCAGCGAAAAAATCCGGAAGAAAAAAAAATAAAAAAATTGAAAAGTCAACGCCGGAGACCGGCGGGGAAAAAAAATTTGGGAAAAAAAAAGTTTTTGGTCAAAATTGAATAATTTGTGAAATTTGGGGTCAAATTGAGGTTAAATTATGTTAAGGATGAAATTGGAGCAACGCCGGAAACCGGCGAAAAAATCCGGAAGAAAAAAAAATTGAAAAGTCAACGCCGGAATCCGGCGGGAAAAAAAATTTTGAAAAAAAAAACATGTTGAAAAAAAAAGTTTTGGGTAAAAATTGAATAATTTGTGAAATTTGGGGTCAAATTGAGGTTAAATTAAGTTAATGATGAACTTGGAGCATATTAAAGGATGAGAGGTTATTTTAGTGCTTTATAAAAATCTGGACCATATGTGGACTTATTGGTAAAGGAGATTTGTATCTTGATCTCCATCCAAATATTTTATATTCCACAACAAAGGAGTTTTAGTTATAGAAATTAAATTTAGAATACATTACGATTTACGAACACCCCTTTCAGGTAGGGTTAATTTTTGGAAAAACACCTATGTTGTTTGTATTATTATATTTACCCCCTTCAGGTGTGCACCGTCTAACATTTAGCCCCTAGCGACCTCAATTTTAAGATTATATTCTAGATTCCAATAATATTCCTTAACTTTTTTCTATTTAATATGGGATGTTTTTGTAATATTTTGAAGAAAATATCTAAAATATAATAATTTTATAAATATTGCATGGCTGATTTCTGTGTACCAAACATTTGATTTGGTGCATCAAAACACCTAACAAATGAAAAAAAAAGGATGTATTATATACCAACAAAATCTGAACTTAATTGAATCCCTAATTAGGGCACTTGGATGGGGGAGGTTTTGAGGGGGGGATTTCAAATATCTAAGAAAATTCTACGCAATATACTCGTTCGTCCGTCCGTACGTCCGGATGGTTTTTCCTGCGTGCGTTTCATTTCGCAGCTCTAAAAAACTTAGATAGTATTGCGTAGAACTATTCTAAATCACTCCTCTACTCTCACAACAAACTATATACATACAAATTAGCCATTTGCTGCATTTCAGCAAAGGGTTCATTCGGAGGCACTCGGAATTACAAACTATCTTACACAATCTAACCTATTTTGAATCGAAGGATAATATTATTACATTACATTCTTAAATATAATCGTTGCGTTTTTCCTTTTTTCCATTTTCTTGCTCCAAGAAAACATTAGTATATATTCCCACTTCCATAAGTTTGCACCACCTTCTTTTTCGCTTTCGGTTCCTGATGACATATATATATTCGAGAATTAAAAGAATTTTTAAAAAAATAATTTGATGATTGCCCGGAATTCCATGGTGATAGAGTCTATTACCTTAAAATTGTTATGGACGGTGAAATCGAGCTCCTTAGTTGATAGTTGAGATTCCGTGTAGTAGTTGCCTCCGGAAGCTTCCCAATTAGTGTGTTCTTCGACGAAGAATCCTCTAGGAGAATCAATACTCATCCCAAAATTATTACTGTTTGTAAACGTTGGACTTAGCCCTTGCATTTGCGAACTCTCACCCAACTCAAACGAACTACGAGTCGATGAAGTTGTTGTATGAATAGGGTTCATCTGCAGTCCTAATTGATCTGTGAAAAAAAAAAAAAAAACAGAGTTATTTTTAAAAGAAACTATATTTGCTGGCCAATGGAAAAAAAAAAAAAACACGAGTTTGATAGTTGATGTACCTTGTTCGACATGGAAATTTGCATTGCCGAAAAGCATAGGGTAAGTTGTAATTGGTATCGGGTCAAAAATCTCAATTTCGTTTGAGTTTTTATAAGCGTGCTGCTTCAGATCTTCCACCATTCTCTGTCGACATAAAGATTTAAGGAAATAAAAAACGACGAGTTTCATTACATTAGTGTTGAAATTGAAAATAACCAAAAAAAGTGTTACGAGGATAAATAAAGAAATGAAACCTTTTGATACACGTTGAGATTATCGGTCAAAAGGAAATTGTGAGCATCGAAAGTGACACCAATAACCTTGTAGATGGAGTTGAACAACAACCCCGTTCCTTGTGCACTCCGATAAACGTATTTCTTGTCATCTAAAATACATGTTTCAGCATGTTTAATAATCGTCTCCCATTTCTTGCTTTGAACCTTACCAAGTACCTGCATATCAACCAATCAATCAATCAATCAATCACGTCACGTTTATTTAATTCTCCAAAAATATATTTTTTTTTTCTTTTTCGTCATTTCAATATCATTAATCAACCTAAGTAGTAGATATATTTCAAGAAAATAAGTATCTTACAGAGCGTAGAGACAATTCGTTTGTGACGTACAACCTCAAGAAATCCCTAATGCAAGAAATTCCAAATTGAGTTAGTCGTTTATGTGACGCTCCATCTTTAGCTATCTTCTCCAACCGCCATACTTCATCGTCCAAGCTTGGCGGATGGTGCTTCTGGTATGCTGACAAAATAGATACATATATATGTATATAATGTATGTATATCAGTTCATCAAATATTTTTCTATGGTTAGTTATATCTACTTTAGTTTTATAAAAAAAAAAAAAAAATACTACTTACATTCTCCACGATGGTCTTTAACTTTAAACGCATTACTTATCCCTTCTCTAATGCTCGTTTCTTCACAACCGGAATGCACTTTTACACCCAAACGAAATCTGCCGCTTCTAATCCAGCTGGAGTTATCGGTGAAGCTGACATCGCCAATATATCCTACTCCATCATGCAACGGAACTACGAGCTCTCCGTTCAACAGTGGCCTTTTCCCTTTTCTGTTTTCCACTATTTTTCGATCAAACTCTTTTTTCGACCATTCTTCTTGATTTTGATCATGGACAAAATCACCGTCAAGCACATTAATTTTCACCTTGATCGAAGAATAGGGACCGGACGTTACTAATTTTTCGGAATTAGAATCGTACAATATTATTTTTACCGGGCTTCGATCTTCGGACATAATTCTACTGCCGGTGAATAGTCTGTGGGGCAATTTACTATCGAACTGCAACTGCAGTGTTCTTGATCCGGTCGGGCATTCGATATTATTACAGTTGGAGGATCTGCAATAAATATCCAATCGAAAACAATTTTCATGCTAAAATAATTGAAGCAGGAAAAAGAAAAACGGAAAAGTAAAACGATGCAAAATATGAATGCACATAATACGTAAAAGTGATTAAACCAACCCCAGAAATGGATCGATTACACGGTTCACTTCCTCTTTCACCTGTTAAACAAAGACCGCAAACTAATTAAATATACAGAACCAAAGTTGTTGATTCTATCACAAGTAATTGAAATAACATAAATATTTATACCCATTGGCGCATGCGGGATTCGAAGTGTGGCATATACTCATGCAGATCCCGAGCCCCTTTAAAAATACTGAAAATTCATGATATAAAATTAGAAAAAGGAAAAACGATAAACGAAAATGCATAACAGAATAACAAAAAAAAAAAAAAAAAATGAAGTAATAGTGAACCGACGTCGAAAGTAAAAGTCGGCGTTTGATCGGATGTTCGGAATCTGTGACACCGGCCCCTTCCTTAAGCGGTCGTTTCGGTACCATCAAAGCTTAGAGAGCAAAAAAAGAGAATGCTGAAAAATGTGTTGAAGCAAAATAACAAATTTGAATGCTTAAATAGGCAAAAATTCTGGAAACTACATAAGAAGCTTCATTAAATTAATGTATAAAAGAAAAACAAACAAAAAAGATTGTTAATCAGAAAGTCAGAGTCAAGCGCATAAATGTAATAGTTATAGAAACAGAGTATGTATCTATCTTTCATTAATTTAAGCATTATTAGGCCACAAATCAAGTGTGCACAAGTCAAGCCTTTAATGTATTTGCTGCATCATCATTATATTTTCTTGGATCATGAAAAAACAAATCTTGTTTATTCTATATTTTTTTTTTAATTTTTTATGGAGAAAGTATATAACAATAATAATAAAACTTATATTATATTTATATAATCTAAGAAATTATTTCAATATGTTTTTTAAAGTGATTTTTTTTTCAATGAAAAGTTTACTAGAAACTTCAATAACAAAACGCTTAGCTAGGAAATTAGGGTGAAAGAGCGATGATGAAATATCAATGTCAAGCAAAGAAATAATTCAATAACTGAAATAACCGCGTAAAAATGGGAAAGATACTGAGAGGGTACAAATCAAGAATATATAATCAATGTTGTTGTATATATTATTATAATATTAGTATGTAATGACATGATACAAAAGAATGAGGTCAAGTTTTCTTAAATACATAATAAAGTATTAAATTTAGTGTTATGGATACTTATGAGAATCACTATTCACAAAAGGGTGTAAATTTAGACCGGATGGTCTATTTTAATAGCAAAATCGGATGTCATATGATGATTGACAGGTGGATAGTTTAAATAAAAATATAATTAGAATTTTAATAATTGAAAAAAAAAAGAAAAAAAAAAAACGCCAACAGAACCCATAACCTCACTAACCCTAATTATAAACGGCGTGATTTATTAAGAGTTAAGACTTAAGAGTACCACATGTCAAAAACTTAGTGGAATCCGATTTATATTAAATATCGGTTGATCCGCTCATAATTTAATCTCTTCACAAAATATAGAGGGTGAGGTAATCATTTTCTTTCTTGCTGACGTGCAAATTATGCCCCACCTTAGTTTTAATATGGGAACCGTGTTATTTGTTTATAAGTAGTTTGTTTGCATAATTCCCTAACCAAACATCTATATTATTCTAGGTTTAGCGGTTATATGTCTTTCACCAATAAGCCCATCCATTTAATATTTATTATAAATAAAGGAAACATTTATGCATATAACAATATTACCCATAACCCTTTATACCCAATTCTTAATTGTAATCCCAATTTAATCAATTTTGTCCACAAAAATCCAATTTCGACTTTTTTTTTTCAAAAACTTTTTTTTTTCGAATTTTTTTTTTGCCGCTGGATTCCGGCGTTGACTTTTCAAATTTTTTTTTTTTTTTTTTTACGTCCGCCGCTAAATATTGACCGTAATTGTGCTGTCACTGACAGTAAATTAACGTAATTATACTGTCAATGACAGTTAATTAACGTAATTGTACTGCCGTTGACAATACATTTATTTAATTGTTCTGCCGTTGACAGTAAATTAACGTACAATTATTATTTTTTATTTTTTGTTATTTATTTTTATTTTGTTTGATTTGTTGACAAGTCAATGTAATTATATTACCGTCGTTGACAGTAAAATAACTGTAAACACAATAATATTACTGTCAACAACATCAATATTATTATTTTTTGGGTTTTTTGTTTTGTTGAAGTTATTCACGGAGTAACGTAATAATATTACTATCTATTATTGTAATATTACTGTAAACACAATAATATTACTGTGGTTGACGGAAAATATTACTGTTGTTATAGTAATATTGTTGTCAACCACATCGATATTATTATTTTGTTTGGATTTTTTTGTTTGTTTGAGGTATTCATGCAGTAAAGTGATAATATTACTGTGGTTGACGGTAATATTACTGTTGTTAGTAATATTACTGTCACTCACAGTAATATTAATTCTTTTGGCTTTTTAGTATGTTTACATTTGTTGAACGGTCAACATAGTAATATTATTCTATTACACAATAATAATGAGTTTTGTTATGTTAATATTACTGTGTTAGAGATTAATATAGTAATATTACTGTGTTAAACTGTAGTATAGTTAATTTTACTGTGTTTAACACTAATATAGTTAATATTACTGTCAATCACAGCAATATTGTTGTTTAAACGAAAAAAAATGTTACAGAAAGAAGAAAAAAAAAAGTCAACGCCGGAACTTGGCGAAAAAATCGGGGAAAAAAAAAAGTCAACACCGGAGACAGGCGATCAACGGCGGTGACGGACGAAATTGTCCATAAAAATATGTTTTGGGTCAAAATTGAATAATTTGTGAAATTTGGGATCAAATTGAAGTTAAATTAAATTAAATGATGAAATTGGAGCATATTGAAGTATGAGGGGCTATTTTAGGTTTTTATAAAAATCTGAACCATGTGTGGATTTTTTTGTAAATGAGTTTATTGTCTGAATCTCTTTATGAATAAAGTACCCATTGATGGACTTATTTATAAAGACCCCTATTCGCAATTCGTGCTTCTATGTATGAATGGTCGTGTTCTATAAATAGTACATTCCATGAAATACATCAGATATTTTTGCACAATAGACAATTTATAAGCAATCACATATGTGCATAGAAATATGCATTTGTGCAAGGGGTCATTACAAATAAACTCATCAATGAGTACTTATTTATAAAGAGATTCAGACAAAAAACTCATTTACAAATAAGTCCACATATGGTCCAGATTTTTGTAAAAGACTAAAATAGCTCTTCACACTTTAATATGCTCCAATTTCATCATTAATTTAATTTAACCTCAATTTGACCCCAAATTTCACAAATTATTCAATTTTGACCCAAAACTTTTTTTTTTTCAAAACAAAATTTTTGCCGCCGGATTCTGGCGTTGACTTTTCGATTTTTCTTTTCCTTCCGGATTTTTTGCCGGTTTCCGTCGTTGACTTTATTTTTTTGTCTTTCTGTAGCATCTTTTTTCCGTTTAAACAACAATATTGCTATGATTGACAGTAATATTAACTATATTATTGTTAAACACAGTAAAATAACTAAACTACAGTTTAACACAGCAATATTGCTATATTAATCTCTAGCACAGTAATATTAACACAATAAAACTCATTATTATTGTGTAATAGAGTAATATTACTCTATTGACAGTTCAACAAATGTAAACATAATAAAAAGCCAAAGGAATTAATATTACTGTGAGTGACAGTAATATTACCATCAACCACAGTAATATTACAATAATTGACAGTAATATTATTACGTTACTCCGTGAATAACTCAAACAAACAAAAAAATCCAAACAAAATAATAATATTGATGTGGTTGACAGCAATATTACTATAACAACAGTAATATTACCGTCAACCACAATAATATTATTGTGTTTACATTAATATTACAATAATAGACAATAATATTATTACGTTACTCCGTGAATAACTCAAACAAAACAAAAAACCCAAAAAAATAATAATATTGATGTTGTTGACAGAAATATTATTGTGTTTACAGTTATTTTACTGTCAACGACAGTAATATATATAATTAAGTTGACTTGTCAACAAATCAAACAAAAAAAAAATAACAAAAAATAATAATATTACGTTAATTTACTGTCAACGGCAAAACAATTACATAAATGTATTGTCAACGGCAGTACAATTACGTTAATTAACTGTCATTGACAGTATAATTACGTTAATTTACTGTAGTTACAACACAATTACGGTCAACGTTCAGCGGCGGACGTAAAAAAAAAAAAAAAAAAAAAATGAAAAAGAAAAAGAAAACTGAAAAAAACATTAAAAAAATCAACGCTGGAATCCGGCGGCAAAATCTTATAACTTGATAAAGCCGGCAAAATCTTATAACTTGATAAAAATTTACAGACGTTGCACCTAATAGACTGTCTTGTTAATGGTACATCAGGTGAAGTATATCATATAGTTTAATTTACAACATAAACCTACATACAAACACCAACATATGTATGTAAATGTGTGCAATGTAAATATGAATTATTATAACATGTTGTACGGACGTAATTGAAATTAAAGAAACCCAAATAAGACAGAAAAAAAGAATAATGAATAAAGCATAAGAAATAAGGAAGTGGGGTAACGCGGACTTGCAGAGTAATCGGAGGGAGAATTCAATGAGCAACACAACGCGGTGAAAGACGAAACATTACACGTTGGACAGAAAAGGATTGCAGCGCGTTTAGGTGAACATCATTCTGATAAAGACTTGCCCCCCGCCGGATTTCTTTTTTGTTTTTTTAGTTGGAACTTGGATTCGCATGCTTTTCTTCCTCCTCCTCCACTTGGCCCCCACATGGACTCGAGAGTAGGGGTTTAATGATATGCCTAATTGGACCAACCCAATGGGTCAATAATTTCACTATCTACTGGGCTACGAGCTCAATATTGAAGACAACGTAACTACCACCGATGCCCAATCACCTTCAAATAAGGTTTGTGCCCGACAATCTCAACTAATTAAACTTCAGTTCAATCAAAGAGGTATACAAAAATGTTTTAACTCAATATTCGAACTATACAACTCCCTGAGTTTCTCCCTCCAACTCTTGCAATACACACGACTGACTTGAGCGTTGGAGGGTTTTCCGCCGGATCAACCCCAAGCTTAGTTTACGTGTTCTCTGATCGCAGGTATCTCAAGCTCATCAAGTTCGTGAATCAGTGATCCACTTTGCTCTTCCAGCTCATCCAACTTCAACGACTTATGGCGATCTAACATTAGCATCATCAAAAAAAAAAAAAATATATATATATATATATATATATATATATATATATATATATATATATATATATATATATATATATATATATATATTCCAAGTAGCATTTTATTTTCTATACCACTTTATTATGTATCGAAATATAAT